ACTTGTCCTCTTATAGTGAGCCTTTTGAAATCGCTGAGGAAAAACAGGAGATTCCATCCAGTCAGGATGTTATTCCTCCGACTCAAGATGTGGACCTTTAATTTGTGAAAAGTATTGAAAAAGAAAATATTTGCAATTGTTGTTGTGAAGGTACAGTAAATAAATGCAAGCTAAAAAATATCATATGAACTTTTTCATCTTTATGGACTTCATAAAAACCTTGATTAATATTTTTTTGTAATTCATTGTGTTATACCGATACTTACTTTCAATAAATTAGATAATCAAATTACATTATTTCTTTTTGGTTTTTATTCCAAGGACTTTTTTTTTATGTTTTTTTCCTCCAGCTCAATAAAATCTTTCAAGTATTAAATGAATATAAATATGTTTATGTATGTGTGTAAATTATATTCATTTCAACATGATTAGTTTTCTTTATTTGTAATGATTTATAATTTTGAAAGAATCTGGATGTCTAAAACATCAAAGAAGAAATTATAATTCTTAAGAGACTGCTCAATTATTTCAGCTCTAACCTCTAAGAGTTAGCAGGTTTAATTCAAATCTCTTGGGAATTAGGCAAATGAATTGGAGATATGGCCCTCCTAATTAACATTGCTTTGAGCTGCCAAATAAAATATATAGTTCTTAATGTGCAGCCTTTTAGTTTAAAATGAATTTTGATAAAAAAAAAATGGGGGGGGGGGCTGTGAACTGAGGTTTTTATTGCACAATAAAATAGTAAAATACTAAAAGCATATTTACAGTTTTAAAGCCACTTTTTTCGCATATTAAATGAATTGAAAAATATTAAAAATTGCACATATATAGGCCAGTTGTCTCATTCATTTCTATTAGAGCATCTCCATCAATTAAGTCAGTGTTATCAATATCCTTTAGTAGGGAAATGAGAAATTTATAGCATGCATGTTTGTCACTTGATGGTCAATCTTTTAATTTCAAATTAATCTGGAATAAATTAAAGTTATCAAGATTACTTTGATATTGTATAAAATATATTATTTTTATTTCCTTTTTTTAAATATCAACAAACGAATTGCAGTGCATTAGTTCTCAAAATATGATGATTGCAAAGTATTAATTAAACAATATGAGAAAGTTTTCTTGAAATCGTGACTCAAATCCATATTCACAATTTTCAATCTTACAATGAGAGTACAGTATGAGGGTGTGTGTATTGATTGTGTATTATATGCATCTCTTTTATGTACACATATTTTGATAATTAATTTAAAAAATTTCAGGTAATTTGAGACAACAGCATGCATGGCACCTAAGAAAAAAAGTGACAGGAAAAGACGTCTTTTAGACAAACAGAGAAAACAGGAAGAAAGGTTTTTTTAAAATTTTTTATATATAGAAATGCTTGCAGAGAAAACAGTCTGAACGTTTATTTTAGCTCAAGTGAGCTTTTCTGATTACCCATCAATGGCCATCATCCATCCATCTGTCTGGGTCTTCCATTTGTTAACTTCAAATTTTCAACTTCTTCTTATGAACCACTGGTCCAATTTTATTAACAAAATTTTGGAGAAAGCATCCTTGTGTAAAGAGGAGATGAAATAGTTAAAATAGTTCAAGTAGAGAAAAATTAGGAAAAGACTAAATAGGATTGGGTTATTAAAGAATCTTTTTTCAAAGACAGAAGGACATACAAAGAGCAAGAAAAGCTGAAACTTAATTTTTCATTTCCTTAGGAATAAAAATTCTTCCGTGATAAAATATTTAAGATATTTGGTTAAATTTATTTCCTTTCTCTTACAGGGGGAGAAAAATGTGACAATGAGTCCTCCAGGAATGTGACATTAACACAGCCAGATTCTGAATATTATAGGTAACATTAATGTGGTTTTTTTATTGAGAAAAAATTCATTCAAATGCTTGAAAAATGTAGTTAAGACCTACCTTATAGTAATCAGTCTGGTTTTTTTTATTATTTGTTTGTTGTCCAATTAAGTACAAATTTGGCATGGTAGTTCATCAGGCAGAAAGACATAAAATGATGCTAAGTTTGATTCTTTATGTCTTTTAGTTTGGAGCTGGGGTGGCAGAGTAGAGTTCTTAACTCTGCACAAAAATAAAATGGGCAAAGAGAGATAACTGCTGAGAATATTCCTATCATAAACTATAAAAGCAGTACAATTGAGTCCCTTGAGATTATAATAATTAACCTTCCACTTGAAGAAAATCCAAAGCATTATCTTTATCTGTCACTTTTTAAAGGAAAATGGATTTAAAAGTTCATAACTTTATTTTGGTTAAAATACTGTGCACAATGAGTTTAAATTTTATGGAATTCCAAAACATGATATATATTAAGATATCCTCTTTTATTATTATTTTATTTTTTACTTTTTTACTTTTTATTAATTATTATTTATTTTCCTGCCCTAATGCTGTTAATTTTAAAAGGTAATCAGATAATTACCCCATTCTGTCAGTGCTGAAAAAGTTCTTATTGTAAATTTAGAAGAAAAGGATGAGAGAGCAGTACAATTAATCCCCTGGGATAGATTATTTTGCTTGCTGCAGAAAATTTAAAAGCTTATCTTTATCTGTGACATGAAGATGAATGAACACCTTTGTCTGCAACTGATGTTTGTTTTGAAGTTGAGATTAACCCAGAGTGATATTTGCATTCATTGAAGGCTAGCATTTTATAAAACACTAGCTTAAATCTTTTTGAAATACACATTTAATTGAGTTATTATAAGACATGAGGTTTCGCCCGGTTTTATGTAAATACAATGTTACCATTTAAAGGTTTTTGACATTCAGGAGTTATCTTGAACTTTTAAAATTACAGTTGTTAATTATAATCTTGATATATATTTTTTACAAAGTTGTAATCAAGTAAAATTCTCATTCCATAAGCTGCACCCTTATATTTCTAACCATCATCGGGACCCTTTTCTGACTGGCCAGTTTTCTAATTTTATTTATTTTTGTTAAATTTTCCTTGATTTTTTTTAGGAACAATGAGGAGACCAACAAAACAAAGAACACAACATCAATAGTGGATGAATCTGAAAGGTTTGTTCTGTGCATGTGTTGCTAGTGTTTGTTTAAAAAAAATGTCACTTAAGATGGCATTCTTTCATACTTGTACATACTTTAAATTGCAGATTAGAAGATCAGGTTGACATATATTTTAAAGATCAAGAAAAGAGGAGAGAGCAGAAGCGACAATACATATCAAAGAAAAGACTTCGTTCAGAGTATGCTGAAAATGAAAAAGAAAATAATAGGAAAAGAAAACGAATTGAAAGAAGCGATCATCAGAAAAGGCAGAATGAAGCTCGACAGGACAAAGAACGGAGGAAGGGATGCAGACAAGAAGCAAGGGTAAAAGAAGCAGAAAATATCAGAGAAAATCTACAGAGGAAAAAAAAAAGAGAAGATCCAATTTATCGACAGAGTGAGGCTTTTCAAGACAAGCAAAGGAGACGGGCTTACAGAAAATGTGCAGGGGTAAAAAAAGCAGAAAATATCAGAGAAACCCCACAAAGGAAAAGAAAAAGAGAGGATCCAATTTATCGACAGAGTGAGGCTTTTCAAGACAAGCAAAGGAGACGGGCTTACAGAAAATGTGCAGGGGTAAAAGAAGCAGAAAATATCAGAGAAACTCCACAAAGGAAAAGAAAAAGAGAGGATCCAATTTATCGGCAGAGTGAAGCTTATCAAGACAAGCAAAGGAGACAGGCTTGTAGGAAAAAACCAGGGGTTAGGGATCTTGAAAAAGCTAGAGAAACACCCCGAAGAAAAGAACAAAGAGCCTTAGAGTCCAGTACTGAGAATGCTATTGCCACATTTTTACTCAAGATTCAAGAAGGTCCAGTGTATATTTGTACAAGCTGCCACAGACTACTGTATAGAACATCTGTATCCCTGTTTAATGAGGATGACTTTTGTGACACAAACACAGAACTGGTGGGAAACTGTAGAACTCTGACAACTTCTTTTGATAGTAATGAATACATCTGCTCACATTGTAAGCGATTTTGAAAAAGAATGTATTACCATCCCTTGCTGTATGCAACAATCTGCAATTAGAGGAAATTCCTCCTGAACTGAAAGACTTAAATTCTCTGGAAGTTGCCTTTATTTCAAGAAGAATACCTTTCATGAAATTATTAGCATTGCCAAGGGGAAAGCAAAAATGTGTACATGGCAATGTTGTAAATATTCCTGTTGAACCAGAAGACTCGGTATCCATTTTACCAAGAGTACCATCATCAGCTTCAATGATCCTGGTAAAATTAAAAAGAAAACTTCAGTACAGAGGACATGTCTTTCTTCAAAATATTAAACCACAGAAAATTCTGAATGCATTAAATACTCTGAAATCAATTAACCCCCTGTACAGTGATGTAATGGTTGATCAAGATTGGTTCCAAAGTTGTTCCAACGATTCTCCGGAACTCTGGGATTCTTTGTCATCATCACCAGAAGATGTTCCTCAAAACAATGACAATGTTGAACCAGATCATGAAGATAATGATGAAAATGAAAGAAATCGCCTCAGCGGTATTCCATACAATACATGCATTCAACCGAAAGATCTTACCAGTGAAGAAAATAAAATCCTATCAATAGCACCAGGAGAAGGGAAAAAGCCAAAAAACTTTCAGGATGATAAATTCTCAGAGGAACTTAGTTTTCCACACCTATTTCCAACAGGAACATTTGGGTACAGCATGTTAAGAGAAAAAAAGATATCAATGAAAAAGTATTTTCAATGTAGACTCTTAAATGCTGATGGAAGATTTGCCAAGAGCATAGAATACATTTTTTAGGCTGAATATCGATGTGAAGCAGAGGATGTCAAAAGCTGCCTTTCACTTGCTCTGAGGAAAGGAAGACAAACTGAAATAACAGCCAGAGAAATAAAAGAAAAATTGAATAACTTTGTTCGTGGAGACTTAGGTATTCATTTTCTGCAAAAAGTACGAGGATCACCAGCATATTTCAATAAGATGTTATATGATTTACTTGGAATGATAAGGCAACTAGGTCCATGCACATGGTTTTTGACATTATCTGCCGCTGATTTGAAATGGTCAGACACAATAAAGGTTCTTGCACAGCAACAGGGTAAAACTTTGTCAGATGATGAGATAAATGACCTTTCATGGGAGGATCGCTGTGACTTTTTAAGAAGTAATCCAGTCACTGCAGCTAGACATTTTGACAACAGGGTACAGTTATTCCTCAAATACATCCTGTTGAACAAACAACTTAATCCATTGGGAAACATCAAAGATTACAAATACCGCATAGAGTTTCAACAACGTGGCTCACCACATGTACATATGCTGGCTTGGATTGACAGAGCACCATCTGTTCAGAAGAATACCCTAGAAGAAGTGCAACAGTTTATTGATCGATATATTACTTGTGAACTGCCTGAAAATGATGACATCTTGCATGAACTTCTTTCTACTGTTCAGAAGCACTCTCATTCAACTGCATGCAGGAAACATGGAGAGAAATGTCGGTTTCATTTTCCAAGACCCCCGGTAAAACAGACAATAGTTGCAAAACCGCCAGTTGATACACCATCAGCTGCCATGCAGGAACAGTATTCCGCAGTATTAACAGCAGTCCATGAGCAGTTGGTAAATCTCAATCCTGGTGAAAACATTTCTGTAGATCAGCTTCTTCAGAGAGCATCAGTTACAGAGAGTCTGTATGAGAAAGCTTTGATCTGGATAGCAACAAAGAATGGTCAACCTGCTGTTCTTTTGAAAAGAAGTCCTGCTGAAGTTAATATCAACAATTACAACAGATCCCTCATGTTGGCATGGCAGGCCAACCTTGATGTCCAGTATGTTACTAATACATATGCCTGTGTATTATACGTTGCATCATATGTGTCAAAGCCTGAGAAGACACTTGGGGATATACTAAAAGCAGTTAGTGCTTCAGGAGAACATTTGGGCCCTAAAACTTCAATGAAAAGTGTTGCAAAGAAGTTTCTGACACATCGCGAGGTCAGTGCTCAGGAGGCCATTTACAGATTGATGTCACTGCCACTGATACAAGGATCACGACAGGTTGTTTTTGTGCCCACAGATCTCCCTGAACAAAGAACACGTCTTTTCAAACCTATGAAACTGATTGAGATGTTGGAGGATGATGATCCAGATGTGTACATGGTAAGGAAAATTATATACCTTTAACTTATTCTTTAAAGTAATTGACATTAAAATTGTGTATCACGTACAATCTCATTTTTGTTTATTAAATACCGGGTATTCTTTATTTAGAGAGGAATATTGGAATATTATGCAGCCCGACCAAGTCAATTATCTGAAGTAACACTTGCTGAGTTTGCAACAAAGTACAAGAAGTCGTCCAACAAAACACCAGAAAATGACCCAGGAGAAAAGAAAATTCAGCTTCAGAAGGGATTAGGTACCATGATTCAAAGAGCCACCCCTCCAATTATACGATACCCTCAGTGTTCTGAGAAAAAGCAGGCGGAACAGTTCTATCATTCTCAGCTTCTTTTATATTTTCCATGGAGAGATGAAGAAAATGATTTATGTAATGGATCATACAAGGAGAAATATGATGCCAATGAGGAAATCATCAAACACAACAAAAAAATATATGAGTATCATGCCAGTGAAGTTGAATGTGCCATGGAAAGTATGGAAGAGTTTGGAATTCCAGAAGAGAGTTGGAATATTTTGGCTCCTCAGGATCAACAGAGTCAGTTTGAGGACAGAGCTGAAGGAAATACAGAATTACCAACAGTCAGCAACATGTTTGATCACAGCAACAGTTCATCTGTGAATCAGGATTTAGGAATAGTCCCACATGAAGTAGAATTCTCAAATGAAAGAATGACAAAATCTGAATGGTATGATCACCTACTTTCACTTAATCATCAACAATCCAAAGTTCATGATTTCATTGTTAGATGGTGCACACAGATGCTTTTGTCACACAAATGCAGACGACCAGATCCATTCCATATTTTCCTGACTGGCGGCGCTGGAGTGGGAAAGAGCCATCTCGTCAGAGCTATAGTTCAAACTATAAACAATTCTTTTGAACGAAACAATCAATCTCAAGAAATGCATGTGATGGTTTGTGCACCTACTGGAGCAGCTGCTTATAATATATCTGGATACACTCTCCATGCTGCATTTCATTTACCATTGAATGTAAAGCATAGTGATGACTACATACCTTTATCTGGAGAAAGATTGGCAGCTTTAAAAGAAACCATTGGAAACATAAAGGTTTTAATCATCGACGAGATATCAATGGTTGGTTCAGATATGTTACTTACAGTGCATCGCAGATTGTGTGACTTAATGGGAAACCACCAACCATTTGGAGGAATTTCAGTTTTAGCAGTAGGTGACTTACTTCAGCTGCCACCTGTTGCTCAGAAAGCGGTATTTTCATGCCCATCAGATGAAATGGCAGCCATCTATGGACCACTTTGGCATCACTTTCAAATTGTAGAACTAAAAGAAATTCAGAGACAAAAGAATGATGCTATGTTTGCTTTGTTACTAAACAGAGTCAGGGATGGAACTCACACCAGTGAAGACATGGAAATTCTTCAAAGAAGAGTTGTCCAAAGCAACGATGAAGCTTACCCCATGGATGCAACACACATCTTTGCATATAACAAAGATGTATATGAACACAATATGAGAAGATTAGAATCTTTACAATCTCCTAAGTTTGTATTTACTGCAGAAGATTCCAGAAAGGATGACCAAACAGCATTAGTGGAGACAACAAATTTGAAAGACATGGCTGGTGGATTAGCTAAAAGTGTTACCATTTCAGTTGGAGCAAAAGTAATGCTTACAAAAAACCTGGATGTTCAAGACGGTCTAGTGAACTCGGCTATTGGCATTGTAACAGGATTTTATCCACAACCACAGGAGGACCAAGACATTGAGACATTCAAACCAAAATTCATTTTTGTCAAATTCAGTGATGCAAGAGTGGGTAGAAGAAACCGACTTCAATCCACTAGAATTTTGAGGGATAATGTTTCAACCCCTATTCCTCAAGTGGAATCACAAATTCGTTTTGGTAGACATTCAAAGATTACAGCCAAACGATCCCAGTTTCCTTTATGTCTGGCTTGGGCGGTCACAATCCACAAGGAGCAAGGAAAACAGAGGATGAGCTTGTAGTTTCTTGTAAAGGGACATTTCATGCCGGACAATTTTACACTGCCATAAGTAGAACAAAAGAGCTGTCCGGGTTGTTCATGTTAGGTGATGTTGCCTTAAACAAAGTGAAGGTGAACACAAAGGCATTAGAGGAAATAAAGAGAATGAAAACAACATCCCAGTTTGAGCCTTGCCAGTTAAAAACAGTTGCTTTAGCTGTTACCATGGATTCATTTTTCATCATACATTGTTTAAACATAAACTCTTTCCTGCCTCATGAAAAATCCTTTTGCAAAGATCTTCTTGGAATGCCATCTCATATCACATGTCTGATGGAAACATGGTTGAAACCTTCAGATGCTGTCTCAGATGTGGAGAACTATGCTCAGTACAGGTCTGAACGTAATCAGCTACACAGAAGTGGAGGACTGTTATCATTTGTCAATTACCACTTGCATGTTCTGAAGCATTTTGAAGCAGATGTCAAAACAGAGCACGCGATTCTGGTATTATCACCTAGACAGGATCATTCCTTGCGACTGTGTGTAGTGTTGCTGTATCACAATCCAAAAAATACAACAACAGTTAAAAATTTTTTTGAAGACTTAGAAATAATATTATCAAGAATTCCACAAGGGCTTCCGACATTTATTGTTGGAGACTTTAACATTGATATATCCCTAAATACTCAATCTGCCAAAACATTTCAAACTCTTATGCAATACAATGGATTTTATCCCACTGTAAAAGAGCAAACTCATCGTCAAGGAGGACATTTAGACAATATATTCATGAATTTTTCATCAACTCCTCTCTTAGATGTTGTTCCGAAGTACTATACTGATCACATGTATATTGCACTTGCAGTACCATGGATTCATTTCTACTGACCAATCCATTACAGATTGTTGGTATTATATTAAGATATAAGAAAACTCTTTAACTTGAAAAGTACAAGTGAAAAAAAAATTGCAATTATATTGCAATTGCAATATGAAGTTTTCACATTATTTAATTAAAATGACAATATACTGAACAATGGACAGCTTTAAATGATTGTTAACAATGTGAACAATTTTTATCCATAAAATAGTTCAAGTGATTCTATACCTTTTCTGAAAAACCCAGCGGGGGGTATTTGTCCACTCTGGACAGTTCTAGTTTTCAACATTTTCAGGGACAGATTATTTATTTCCAAAATCTGTCAGGCCCCCACCTCAGAATCAAATGGTCGTCCCCTTAGCTGCGGAATGAATTATGTCATTTTTACACAAACAACCTTGCACAAACTTCTGCACTAAACAGACAAATTAAAATGGATACAATTAATTTATTGTGAAGACAAATTAAAGCATTTAAAATTTTTTTTTCTTATATTGCCTTAAATTGTGTACTTCACATATGCTACAAAATCATTTCAAAACTTTATTTTTTTACAATGAAATCAAACTGTATTGCCAGCATTAGGCTCTGCAAGTACAGAGCTGCCAACCCTTACGATTTTGGCGTAAGGCGTACGAAGTCAGCGGCTAAAATATGCCTTGCGATTTCTCTCTCTGTACTTCCGATTTCGGTTTTTCTCGTTTAAAGTTTATAATACCGGTATTTTCATAGCTGGCAGTCTTTAGTTTCTACTATTATACTATATTCACAATCCTTACAACGCTTGCTTTTATCATCGTTTCGGTTTTAGAAGGCCGATCACATTCATGTCAATGTTTTAAAGTAAACAAAATGGAAACATGCCTCACATTGCATGTCCATTTACAAAATATCTGCAGCGACAGGGAGGCTAGGGTTTCCCTCGACCCTGCCTTACTATTTGTCATTTCAGAATGTTGGTAGCTCTGATGAAGTAAAATTAACTAGCTTTTTTCCTTGCTCTGCACTTTGCATTATACATAATGACAACTTTCAAAATTTAAATTCAAACACAATTGTTATACGAAGTAACACCGGCCGCGGTAAAGGCAGAATAAGAACACATTTTCTCAATGGTTTTAGACATCTTGGACTCCATTTCAACTTTCTCGCGTTTCACGTTCAGAGGCCGCCCCTAGTGAATTAAAAACTGTGAGTGTATTTACCATGAACCAATTAATATCTATAGAGTAACTATAACAAAGAAAACTTGTGCAAAGTCCCACAAGAATAGACAGGACTTGTATATGTATATATCACGTCTTATTTAACATGCCTATATAAGTCACCCAAGTCTAGAAAAGATTTCCCTATCTCTAAAGTCCCATAAGTTTATAAAGGAATTGTATATATGAATGTATTTATTATTATACCCATCAAACGAAGTTTAGGGGATATATTGGAATCACCATGTCCGTCTGTCTGTAGACAAGATTTTGTCCGGACTGTTTCTCAGAAACTGTTGGATAGATTTGTCTGAAAATTTATTCACTTATTATTCAGCATATGAAGGTGTGCACCTAGTGTTTTTATCATGATTTGATGATTTTTCTGCATTTTACAGGCGTTTTTTTTGTTTTATTTTGTGATTTTGTTTGGCTCATAACTAGAAAACTTTTAGACTTACAATCATCGAACTTGGACAATTTATGCATTTAAGTAGAAGTTGTGTCACGACCTATTTCAAGGTCACTGTGACCTTTAATTTAAATGATTTTTTTTTAGGTAAACTCAGGTGACCTATTGCTATCCGTTTTCGTCCGTCGTCGTGCGTCGTGTGTTAACATTTGAACATTTTCAGCTTCTTCTCTGCAACCACTGAACCAATTTCAGCCAAATTTGGCAGGAAGCATCTATGGGTAAAGGGGAACAAAAATTGTGAATTTCATGATCCCTGCCCCCCTGGGGCCTGAGGGGTGGGGCCAAAACCACTAAAATTAATGCAATCTTCAAAAATCTTCTTTACTCCTGGACATCAAGCAGTCAAACTATTTGCATGATTATATGCGTGACCTGTTAAGGAACATTACACGCAATAATGAATTAAATGCATCCTGTTAAGGACGCGAGTTTCTGAAGAATCTCATTAATGGAATTGGCAATGGTAATTGCATTTTGTTTTTTGCATTTGATTTTAGTCAATGCTAAATATCTTAAAGTACGTTAGTACAGGTACTGTAATAAAAAAATATTCATTTCAGCTATCAAGATGCCGCAGCCATCACGAAAGAGAAGGAGGCTAGACGATACGACTAGACAGGAAGTGTCAGACCTGATGTCACAAATGCTTCAAACTATGGTGCCGAACATTGTCGAAATGGTTACGCAGAAATTAAAAGGAGAGATGTCTCAACCACAAACAGAGCAAGGACCTACCAGCGTAAGCAGCGTTGACGGACATCAAACAATAAATGTGGAAGCAACAGTCCACCAAGAGGAATCTACTCAACAAAGTACTAGCACTGTAGAAATCTTACCGAGTCAACCGTTGACTAACAGTGCGCAAGGTAACCCACTAAACACAACTGGTCCTTTACATTCAGGTCGTCCCTTGGGACAAAGTGTGGATAAGAAATTAAAGGCAAAAATTTGGGCAGAAGAATATGTTCAACTTGGTGCGCTTTTGTTCAAAAACCCTTATTCAAAATTGAACAAAAGTTTTACATGAAATCAATTACGCAATGGATAAATGCTTTTCACATTTTTTTGTCTATTTACTGTGAGAAATTTCCTAATCAGTCTTCAAACAGGAACTCCATGCTGAGGCACTGCAACTTGGCCTAAAAACAAAAATTCAGACTTTGGAGAAATCATCAAAATTTAACAACTCCTATTTTCAGCAGTCAAGAAACAAACAACAGCCCTTTCGTACCAAATCACAGGAGAAAGGCCCCTGTTTCAGTTTCAACAACAATGCAGGGAAATGTGAGTTCCCCCATGTATGCCTTAGATGCCAAGGACAACACCACAAAAGAATCTGTACCCTCTCAAGTGAGAGCCAACCAAGCTCAGTTAATAAATCCTTGCAAGCAATCGGAAGCAAAGTCATCCAAGCAGCAACCAAGACTAAGAAATAAGGATCAAGATGTAGTCACGCCAATAAAAGTTGAAGTGTTGAATTTATGGCTAGAAGGTTATGAAGAAAGCAAACTACAGTATTTGGTTGATGGATTTACGTTTGGATTTCGCTTTCCATTTAATGGCAATAGAACCTTTCGTTATATTGATAATCTCAAGTCAGCTCGAGAAAACTTGGAAATTTTGCAGAAAAAAATTCAAAAAGAAATTGACACAAATAGGGTCGGGGGCCATTTTCACATTAATAATATTCCATTTGAAGCATTACAAATTTCTCCATTGGTTCTAGTCCCTAAACAGAAACCTGGGGAGTATAGGGTTATTCATCACCTCTCCTTTCCTGAAGGATCATCAATTAATGATGGAATTGATAGAGAAAATTCAGCTGTATCGTATCAAACTATTGATGATGCAGTTAAATTGATTAAACAATTTGGAAAGGGAGCTTTGTTGTCTAAAACGGATATTGAACATGGCTATAAAAATATTCCTATTCACCCATCTGACCATGAATTATTGGGGTTTGCCATTGGGAAAGACATATATTTTGATAAAACACTTCCCATGGGATTAAGTTTTTTGAAAAATTTTCAACGGCTTTGCATTGGATCGTAACTAACAAATTAAAGCGGCACAGTGAGTCAAAATCATATCTTAATTTTAAGATATCTGTAGTATACAGAGAAAGACTTACGAAAATTATGAGTATATAGCGAAGATATGACAATTAAACTGCAAGAATTGACTGCACAATATAAGTGCCGGAGAAACAAAGGTTGTATCTACCGTTTCGTTGTTTTGTATATGTCAAGGTCACGCTACTCTTATTTTTAGCTCAAACTTGTAAACAAAATTCAACTGGAGCATGCAAAGGTGAGAAATATGTTCTAACAACTTTTGAAAAAGATTACATTAATTTTTTGGGTCTACTTATATTTATTCGTGGATACCTGAGACCATGGTAACTATGGAAACTTATTCAACACTTTTCTGCGCACGCGTATAACAGGGAGGAAGAAGTATCAGGGTATTTTGCAATATTTTCGTTCTGGGGC